GCAAATAGAATTGAAATCAACTGAGACAGCTCATTAGGGGTATATACACCCTCTGGACATCAGTCTAGTCCAGCTCCCAAAAACCAAATCTCTACATCGTTTTTACCCCTGTAAGCTGACAGTCAGCAAGTATCTGTTAATATAGAAGGTACCCATGTGATGACGAGGGGACCAGAAGGCTTTCATGTAGTAAAATTCCACTTGATTACCAAATAGCACTTGCCTGGTTTCACTTCTCTTCAGGTGCATCAAATGAAGATGCTTCTTCAGTGCATTCATTGTGGAATTCATTGCAAGCCTAACAGCCTCTCTATGGAACATTTTCCTTACAGACTAAACCCAAAGTTCCTATTGCTTAATTTTAATGTATTTTATTCTTGTTGCATTTCCTGATGCCACATGTAGAATTGAAAAAGAATCTTTACAGGTTTTTTTGCTTATTTTATAGCAAAACCTGCAACAATTTAAACAATCATCGATTGTGTTCCTCTAAATCCCCTCTTATGCTGGAAAGGCTCCTGTGTTTATACACTCAGAAATCAACAAAGTGACTTACCCTGGTTTACATGTACAGAGAGTGATGGGGGAGATGAAGTGAGCAGTTTGGCCCTGGATCCCTTTTCAAGTTTGCCGAGTCAGCGGCAGAGTGTTTTGTTCCTGGCTACGCTGGTGCAAAATCAAAGTACTGTGATGGACTCAAATAACTCTGGCTCCAGCTTATCATTAACTTCAAGGGATTTACTCCACACTTTAATCAGTCACTGAATGAATGTATAATGTGACCTGGGAAGAGGCATAAAGTGTAAATCAGTGCTTGATTTGGTCCTGAGCCAATGCTGGTGGGAGAAATGCTTTCAGTACATTTGATAAAAGGTATTTCTTAGATAATGAACACTACTACAAAAAGAGGCCTTGTCAAATGTGGAATGAGTATGGTCTATCAAAGGTTTGTTTTTGACTTATTTTGATCCTCTGTAAAGTAAAAATTCTGGAAGATGAAGCAAGGGAGTGAGTGTTGACCTCTTATGTGGAAGGTTACAGCATTTGGAGGCCTTGGGTTTTGTGTCAGCCTTGTGTTCTGCAAGTGGAGAGGAGGATGCTGGAAACGCTCCTTGGCTCAGTGGGACTCTTTGAGAAGGAGAGAAAATTACTCTTTTTATTGTAAGGTTTGTCAAATGATCTCTGAGAAAATGTGATATCATTCATATGCATTGCCAAGCTGGAGAGATGCTGTGCATCTTGGCAGCCATCTAGTGCTAACATACAATTCCTTTGGGTTGGTATGGTCTTTATCAGAAACAGCTCCATATGCAGTATTTATATAACTGTGGTGGAGTGTGAGAATAAACACAGCTGTGGCATTGCCCTAAATATTTCAATTCAGTGGGGAATTAAGGGAACTTTATCACTAAACTGCAGATAAACAAGTCAGTGAGTGGTGGTCAGTTTAGCCAAGGAACAAATCAAAGTTACAATGGCTGGATTGCTGGAAACATTTAAGTGCTTTAGTGTTGGAGTTTACTAAAGTCGCTGGTATTTTTTTTTTTGCTTTTCAGAAAATATGGAAATGGCATCAGTCATCTGTTTAAAAAAAAAAAAGGCATCATCCAAGTGGGATGGAGAATCAAAGCAATATAGGCTGGAAGTCAGAGAAGGGAAGAGTGTATAGGGGCATAGCACTTTCAGTATTTGGTTATGGTTGGAGCCCATGGATTTCTAGGAAGATTTTAAGATTTTATTTTTTTTTTTTAGTGTTTCCATCCAGAGATAGGACTCCTGGATCTTTAGTGGAAATCTGCAAGCCTGATTTCCTAAGTATAGTTTAGTGCCCAGGTCTTGTAGCAATAGCTAGTAGCAGAGTTCAAGCAATTGAGGATCTAGACTTTCATCTAGAAGGTATGAATAAAAAAAGGTGCCCTGCCTAGCAGCTTGCACAGGAATGGCGCTTGCAAGTGTGTTCCTCGGGCTGGACCTGTGATGTGGATAAAAGGATTCAGTTTTAGGGTTGTCAAAGCAGCATTTATTTCCATTTTGAACTCACTTTTGAGAGCGTAGCATAGATTTTTTTATCTTCCTGCCACTCAGCTCGGGGAACAAGGTAGACTTTCTGCAGTTGTTAGTACCTCACTATCAAACTTTGACTGACAAGCAGTCCCGAAAACGTCCCCATTAGAAGTCACTGAGGAATGGTATTTTAAGAGTATTTTTGCAAGTATGGCTCAGTATGGCTGTTGGCATAAGTGCACTGCAATATGTATGTTGATATCATAGCAGAATGTGTATATACTAGAATATGCATAGTTTAGAATGCCCTAAACAGAATTAAGAGCTGTCTAAATGTTCATCATTTTAGGGGACAGAAGTCTTGTACAAATACTCGAATATCTACCAAGGGAAATAGACTTTGAAGACCCAAGTAGGAAAATACTTGTTTGTATGTTAATCCTCTTGCTTTAAGTAAGAATTTAAGTGCTTTCTGAACTGGAGGGAAGCAAGATGCCATTTGGAAACTCTTGGGTCTACATTATTTTTAAACCAAAGCCTGTTATGCTAACTTCAGAAGAAATTACACAAGTTAACTGCTTAGTAGTTCCTTTGCAACTGAAAAAGCAACACATTCTTCTGAGTCTTTATAGTTCTTCCTCAGCGCTTTGTTTACTACATGATATGCAGTGACTGAAGGTGGGAGATCCCTTATAGAAACCACAAGATTTTTGTGAAGAGCATGGTTTCACACAATGCATGGGGTGTATTAACAGTTTTGAAAACCAGCACAATACCGCTGAGCTGTCCAAATAATTTTTGCCTTTAAAAAAAGTCATTAAAATGAGAGGTAGAGTGCAGAAAATCAAGAGTGCTGCTCCTGGCTTGTTCCCTGCCTTGCCTGGATTATGCACCTTTCTACTTTTTTTGGTGGTGAAATGGGGATGCTGTCTCTGACCTCATTTGTAAAATGCTGTGAGAACTTCTGCCACAAAGTGCTCCGTAAGTAACAGGCAACGTTTCTCTGAGGTCTTGCCAACAATGTACTTCATTTCACCACAAGGTACTTTGAAAATGGGAGTCTGTATCAGTGTTTCCATTGATAGCTGCCTCTGGGAACAAGTTCAAACCCTGATTCACGCAGTGGTGGGAGAGCAGTGTGTCTGATGGACAGACAGACTGGGGTGTGGTAGCTGTGTGTGATCATAATGATCATCGGACACCAATGGCTAAACCATAACTGTCAGGGAGACAGCTTTTTGGGGGAATGTGCCTGTCTGCAAACAGCTTCATTATACACCAAACCTGCATCGTCTGGCAAGGAGTTTTCCTTTTGGTACCTGAAGTTGAATCCTCAGTGCATCCTGGAGAGGTTGAATAACAGCACCTACTTTCAGACAGCGCTGAACTCCAGCAGCTTTACTTGGGAAACATGCATTATTGTGTTGGCTCAGTGCTTTCTAAAATATCAGACCACTTTTTAAGCTATCCAAACAATGATTTAGGACACTGAACAGTTCAGCTGCTGAGTTTGGAAAATCATGACCTTTTCTATCTTTAGAGCAATGTCTACGTTGGAGACCTCCTCTTCCCGAAATGGACAAACGTGAGACCAGCAGTCCTTACTCTCCAAGCCACAGAGAGCTGTGCAGATCTAGTCGTTCATGTTCTGGATTCTGCTCTGGTTTAACCAATTAATTAAAACCTCCTAACTGTTAGTTAAGGTCCAGATTGCAGGATTTTGTAATTGCATAACAAATATTAGCATTACAGTACCGTTTCAAACCTTAACCTGACTAAATTCCACTGAAGAAATTACTTTTCTGCTACAGAAAAGAGTTGTTTTGTGTCCCAGAGATCAGGCAGCAATACACAGGAGAGATGTACGTGCTTAGGCTCAGATCCCAGGTCAAATCTGTGTGGGTCACGTTCAGGGGCCATCACTGTACATACACAATGAAAAACACAAATGTGACTGGGAGTTGAGTGATGGGGAATGACCAAGGCTTAGTTTTATAGTTGCTTCACAAAGATAAACCAGGCTATTAATTGTGGGTTATTCAAAAAATGTTCAATTAAAAGTGTCCCACAAAGCTATAAAGAGCACACAAAGCCCCACTAATAACTAGTAACTTCAATGAGAACAGAGCTGAAATAGCTGCAGCTGCCTCTCAAAGCATTTTTGTTGTTGTTGTTAGCAAAGGTGTTGGCAAAGGTCCCATAACCACCATGGACAGGATTTATTTTCCTGAAAACTGTGTTCGTTTATGCTTTTCAAACCACAGTGGTGGGGTGGAAGCCCATAGGATGGTCTAGTAAGCTTTGCCTTTTTTTTTTTTTTTAAATCTCTTCACAGGAGTTTGGAACGCTGTAAAAAATGCCTGCCAGCAGCAATCATATGATTGCAGTTAGCATTTCTTGCTGCTGCTCTTAGCAGGATCTAAATGGAGCATTGAGGATGTTGGTAACTCCTGGAGAAGGCAAATTGCAGTGGGCTTCTGGTTGATGCTTAGTGGTCTCACTGAAACCACAGCACAATCCTAAGAGACCTCCTCTGTTTGAGATGAGGGTTGTTTTCATTTATCCCTGTATGTGTAAAATAAACACATTGAGAAACTGTGGGTGTGCCGTGACATCCAGCTGAAGAAGTCAGCAGCTTATCCCTGGCTTCTCCACAGTCATCTCTCATGCAGTTCTGGGTGGTTGCCTTGCTGGTGAATGTTAATGGGTGTATGCTTCTCTTGTCTTCATATTTGAAACTCCCATTGGCATGCTGGATGTGGGATTGTGTCAGCGCTGGCAAATCCCCTTCTTGAGGATTTTGCTGTAATGACAGTGCAGACCTGGCTTCAGTTTACATGACCCAATTCTATTCAGATGTTGTAAAGGTATGTTTTTAATACTAGGTCATAATATAAGTATCCTTTTTAATTCATTGCTAACACTAAGTGACGTAATAAATTTAGCTACCTAACGGTATCTGAGTGAACATAAACTTTTCCCCCTGATTTTTCTAGACTTATTGAAGTTCATTCACCTGATGCTAAGCACACCGTGGTGCTCAGGAGTAAGGATTCAGCTACAGCCCAGGCCTGGTTCAATGCCATCCACTCCAGTGTCAATGAGCTCATCCCCAGGGTGATTGCAGAGGTCAGAGACCAGCTGGGTAAAACAGGGATTGCTGGAAGTCGAGAGATTCGGCATCTTGGCTGGCTTGCAGAAAAGGTAATGAAAGCATTTTTATTTTCATTTCTAAGCTCTCTTTCTCGCTTGCTCTTTGTTCTTGAATTCACCCTTGTCTGGAAGTGGAGAGGCTAAATGAGGTTCTGGGTTTTGATTTTGCTTTCCATGAAGACCTTTCTTTTCTTAATGTGCCAATTTTTTTGCTTTAAAAACAAACAAACAAAACCCCCAAGAAAACCCCAACAAACTAAAACCAAAACCAGAAACCACAACCAAACGCCAAAAACTAAAAGGTCCCCCGAGTCCTCACTTCTGTGTGCCAATTAGCAAAGACTTTCCTCAGAGACAAAAAGTCTCATCTGTCAAGTTCAGGCATGGGACGTGAGACACAAAAACTGACAGTAGGCTTGAGCTCCCCCACTGTTAAGTCTCCTGTTTCCATATATGAGAGATCCCCTTCCCACTCCCAGGCTGGGAAGTAACTAGTTGCTTGGCCCATGGTCCTCCCCTCTGCTGTGCCTGGCTGCAGGAGCTCAGCACAGTGTGGAGCATGAGGTGGTGTCTCCACTGCGCCTGGGAGTTTGTTCTGTAATTGTTTGAGCTGACCTCTGTAGAAGGCTGAGCTTGCAGTTGCAAGTCTTACCCCATGCCTTACACAGTTTGAGTTTCAAAATATTTTATGCTACAAGGAAAAGATATTTTTCAGTCTGAAAGTAGTTTGGGATCTGTTGACCTGTGGAAAGCTGACCCATGAATGCACAGGGATGGTATCAGTATGAGATAATCTGGTTTTAAGTCAGTAGTGTCAGAATTTGTTTTAGGCACTGTACCAACCAATAAGCGTGGGTTTGCTATGGTACCAGCAATAGGATTGTGCTGGGGAATCCCTCCCATCCGGGTGCTGCCTGGGCAGTGGTCCGGAGCATCCCTGCTTCTCCCGCTGGGGCGTGTGCCAAGGTGGCCATTACACAGACACTGCCCTGTCATGCTGTGCCTCCAGCACAGGTCTGGAGAGCTGACTGTGACTGCCCTGGAAAAGTCCTGTATGTTTTAGCTCTGTCTGTGATTTTGTTGATGAAGATAAGGGAGACACAGGCACAGGTGCCATGTTTCTGTCTAGCATGCCTTAAGAAGGCACACTGTTGATTTTTAGTAAAACATGGGTCAGTCCACACAAGCTGAAGTGAGGCAAAGATTGCAAAACCTCTCAGGCAGATTTATTGTGTTGTCTTCTCCCTCCTTCCAAGCTTGCAGAGCGGGGGAGGGGCACACAACACTGTAGAAAATACAAAAGTTTGGGGGAATAAATTTGGGTTAAAACACCAAAGAATTGGTAAGTAAATTTTAACAGTATTAAACTGTACAGCCTTGAGGTCTCTAATCTTGTTTTCTCTTTTGTATCTCCTTCTATAACTTATGAAAAGCTGAACATAAGAGGCTTTTTCCGTTGCAAAATTCTCTCCTCTGAAAGGGTAACTGCTCTGGAGCAGATCAAGTAGACCTTATATGTTGTGTATTGACAGGTCATTTTAAGCAGACACATGGCAGGCTTCTGGTTTATGAATTTCTGCTCCTTACAGCTAATACACAATATCCCATTCACAAGTTATTCTCTTTTTTTTTTTTTTTCCTTATGGACTGAGATCTCATTTCATGTTACTCATTATGGACTGGTGCAAGGTCCTGCTCAATTTAGTGGTGAAACTTCTGTTGCTTTTAATAGAGCCAGGCTGTGGTTCTGTGCACGTTCCAGTGTATTTACAGTGTCTGTCATCAAGAATTGGCCTTGAGAGATTTGCAGTGACATTGTTACCCAAAAGTCAACAAGTGTTTTTTCACTAAACTAACCATTCAGAGCTGTGCGATAGTAATGGAGTGGGGTCAAAAGTTCCAAGCTTCTTCTCATGTTGGAGGTCTATTGAAAAGTAGAGAAAAATACTAGCTATGGTAAAAAGTAAATGTGAAATGGCTTTTATTTCATTACTGGATGGTGGGCTGTAAAGCCTAGGTGAAAGAAAGATAACCTGAAGGGTGGGGGAGGGAGGTATATATACTGCATATATATGCAAACTGTATTTTTGTTGTTTTAGAGGTGTTCAAGGCAGGTAGGTGAGGTTCTGACTACAGGGTATTTTCCAGATTCTCCTCGTGCAAAGCCTCAGTTTGCCAGGGGGTGAGATTGAATTCTGCAGTATTTTTTGGGAGTATACCACGAATACCAGCTTTCTTCTCTTGGAGTGAACTTCCCCAGGACATCCACTGCTGGTTAGTTTATGAACACTGGAGTTTAGAAAGGGACCTCATTATTAGTATCCATAAAAAAAGTAATTTGCCTTGTATTTCTCCTAACTTTACCATTAATTTTTTTTCTCTGTGATATTTTGAGGTATATATTGCTATTTGACTGCAGTGGAAAATTGGAACTCCATTTTGAAAAGCATCTTAGACTGTAACTTTTTAAGACAGCTTTTATGACATCACATTGTTACTTACATAGCATAATGTTACAGTGAATTCTCAGCAAAATGGAACAACACTGAGATTAATTCCTTGGCTTTTTTTGGGAATGCAAAATGTAATCCCATAGAAATTTCACTGTAATTTGCTGTGATTACTCTCTGCTTTCATTAAGTTGTTTCCTGGTTTGACATTTTTATGTGTCTCTGCTCTAAACTTAGCTCTAAATTTCAACCTTTATGGTACTGCAAAAATAGATTGATTAGCGGAGCCTCCCTCAGGTGGGTAACATTAAAATAAATGGTAGGTTATCTAAGGTACAAAGCAATTGCATGCTAACAGGATTTTTCCACCTTCACTGAACTTCCTTGTGAAGACAGCCCCAAATTTGTGGTCTTCAGAGTGAAACCCCCAGGCTGGGCAGAGAGGGTCTGTCTGCAGGTAAAGCAAAGAGCTCTGCATCACTTTAAGAAGGCAAACAGTAACTTTAGCATTATTATAGGTAAGGAGAAAAACAGCCAGAAGCAATCATTAGAGATGCTGTATTCCCTCTTTTATTAAGGCATTAACCTTGTCCTGACCTTGGCTTTATGGGAAGGGTTTCTGGAATCGCCCAAGGATTAGGGAGCTGTATTAGTCACCAGTATCCTCAAATTTTTCTGTAACTAAGAGAAATGTCAAGTACTGTTTTGTAATGAAGTGTGCATGCTCCCCAACACCTTTTCTTTCTTGTGTTTGTCTTTTTACTTTAGCAAGACCTGTGGGATTAACAACTAAGTGGGAGGGAACAGCTACAGATGGGTTTTAATCTTTATAGGTCTTTCCTTTTTTTAATGCACCCTGTAGAGATACTTTCAGTGACCAAAGACAGAAAAGAAGTTAGTAATGTAATCCTAACTGAGGAGCTATTCCATGTGTGTGTTAATTGCCCCTCTTCTTTCCAGGACTCCTTTCAATCTGTGTAGAAATTCCTTTTCCACCTCTTTTCCCCCACATTTTTGTGACTCTGCACATCCTGTGGCTTATAGAGGAGCTGAAAAAAGCATCACAGCTTTTTTTCCTTGCACTTAGCCACATACCATTAAGTTCCTTTGTGAGGAGCAAATTCAGTTCTTGCACTGGAGAGTTAAAACACTGAAGAAATAGTAGTTTATTTTATCACTTTCTAGCATGTGTTCCAATAGACCAAGGAATTGTTGGCAAAAGCTTTATCTACCTTTTTGCCTCTTTACTGCAAACACAAAAAGGTGTTCTGGCAGAAGTGGGTTTGCAAAGGTAGTTTTTGCTAATTCAGCCATTGGCCACACAAGCAAAAGCATGACTGGTTTTGGGGAAAGCTCAAGCTGTAGCCAACCTTGTAGCTGTCAGCTGAGAAAAACCCAAAATCCAAGTGAAACACCAAACTCTGTCTTTCCCTGTCCTTCTTCTGCCAGTGACACTTGAAATGTAGGCTTGGCAAAAAGAAAAAGCACTTTCTGCAGCTGGAGACTGTTCTCCTTTCAAGAAGTCGGGTGTCTCATAGGCAGTGGACTTCTTAAAACGATCTTAAAGCTTCTCTGAGAAACTTAAAAGTAGAAGTTGTCTTTTATAACGTTAATACTTGAAGCTGCAGAAAAAGTGCCTCTCTGGGCTTTTTTCACTAGATCTTAACCCCAGCACTTGGTTTCTGGTCACGTTGCTCTGCCTGCCCAGGGCAAGTGTGTCGCTGCTCACAGTAATCTGGTGTGGGGATCAGAGAAGAGAAAAGACACAATATTGGAGGGAAAATAACCAAATTGGCATGGTGATTTGGAGCTGGGTTTCACCTCTTGACATGATCTCTGAAATGAAAAGTATATTAATATATTACAGGCTGTTCAGTCTCCTCAGACTTTAGATAACCGTATCATTGTGTTGGAGCTGAAGTGCAAGGCATGTCACACAGAATGATCTTTGGTATCGAGCTGTATATTGCAGTATTATATTTATCTTCCTGCTTTCGCTCCAATTCAGAGGACAGAGTGATAACAGCAAGATTGTGAGCCTTGCAAGCTGTCCAAATAAGATTTAGGCAACTGACGTGAGAGTGTATTTAAGCTTGGTTTTCCCCTCAGTATGAAACAAAAATGTTTGTTTTACTGTTTTCTCTGGAATCAGGTTCACTGGTTATCAAAACAAGTAGACGGAAAAAGGGCTTATCACAGATAAGTGAATTTTCAAAGAACAGGAGTGAAGCTTCAGTCTTAAATTTTTGTATCATTTCCAAATTGTAAAAGCAAGCTTAGTGTCTTTCCCTGAGAAAACCACTAGCCCATCAGGTAAAACGTTTTGCCTTTATTTAACTTTGCGGCTATCTGATTTTAACCACCTCCCAGTGAAGCACAACAGCTGCTGGGCAGCGTCTTAGAAACCCTGGTGTATCTGTGTCCATGGTTGGGGCTGTCACCATCCCCCTGAGCTCTCCCAGCTCTTCCATCATGGTGGTGGCAGTGCTTCTCTGATCACATAGTTACGCTGGTAGAAAACTCACTACTTTTGTTAGGGTAGCATTAGCTTTCTGTAGGTTTTATGACAAAAGCAAATCCCAGTGCAAAAGGAGCAAAAGC